AGAGCCCCACTCCTGAGTTCCATCCTTAGTGTCAGATTTCTCAGCCATCTCAGCATTCACGAAATCTCCCACAATGCCTTCCACGGGCATGAACCACCTGTGCCAACAGGATGTCACCAGAGGCTTTTTATCATCTCTACCACACTGTGTTTTGAGGATACCCTGGGGTTTGAGAGCACATATTCTGGAGTCTAAACTGATCCCAGTGACTGGCTTTAGCCTTAAGAGCTGTGTGAAGTTGTGCAAGTCACTTAACCTAAGTCCCTGTTTCCTGCTATGAAAATGGAATAATAATAATAATAGCTAAACCTGATCTTGTCCAAGTCTCTTGAACAGCAGGGAGATCAAACCAGTCAATCTTAAAGGAAATGAATCCTAAATATTCATTGGAAGGACTGATGATGAGGCTGAAGCTCCAGAATTTTGGTCACCTGATGCGAAGAGCTGACTCATTAGAAAAGACCCTGATGATGGGAAAAGATTGAAGGCAGGAGGAAAAGACGGTGTCAGAGGATGAGATGGCTGGATGGTACTACTGATGCAATGGACATGAACTTGGGCAAACTTCCAGAGATGGTGAGGAACAGGGAGGCCTGGCATGCTGTGGTCCAGGGGGTTGTGAGAGTTGGACACAACTGGATGACTGAACAACAACAAACCTGATCCTAGAATTCCTGCATGGATTCAGTGACCTAAAACACCAAGTGCTTAGAATGATGTCAAGCACACAGTAAACACATTCAATCTCAGCTTGTGTTTTAATGACTTAAACAGAAGTATCCATTTGTTACTGGGTTTTGGGTTTAAGGTTTCCTCAACACAGGTCAAACACAAAAGTCAAAACTTTGACTAAAGTTACACTCTTATATAGTACGAGTTCATCCTTGGCAGCACTGTTCTCAAGCTTTACACATGCACTATTACCTGCCAAAGTTAATTCATACATCAGGACCCACAAGATGAAGGCTGTCCCAAATGTCTGGCTCATGCCACAAATCTAAACCCAAGTCAGCCTGCTTTTATGGGAACAGCCTCACTGCCCAGGAAACCTAACGCCAAGCACAATCCTCCAGATCAGCTTTAGTCAGGTCACCTTACTCTTTTGAAAAACAGGTCCTGCTGGCCTCAGAAGGAAACCACCTCCTACCTCCTAGCCACCATGCCATTTCTTCCTCACCTCTTCTCACCTTCTGTAAAACCCACATGCGTGCACGTGCGTGTGCTCGGTCAGGTCCAACGTTTAGTGAGCCCATAGACTGTAGCCCGCCAGGCTCCTCTGACCATGGAATTTTCCAGGCAACGATACTGGAATGGGTTGCCATTTCCTACTCCAGGGGATCTTCCTGACCTAGAGATCGAACGCACACCTCCTGCGTCCCCTGCATTGGCAGGCAGATTCTTTACCATTATGCCACCTGGGAAGCCCTCGTAAAACTCGCCCTGGCCCCAGATTCCCCAGGAATAAGGCTCCACTGCTTGGGAGGCGCCTTGTCCCCCGACTCTATGAACAAAGGACATCAAACTCACCACTAAGTCATCTTAGCTTTGTTACCCTGCATATCCCGTTCAATCCTCTAAACTTTATATGGCAGGCATTATTTCATTTTACAGATGAGTAGGGGATTTTAATCAAGATAATCTGGCTCCAGAGTCCTTGTTCTTAAAAGGAAGTTGTGAGTCAGGTCTGTCCGCACGAAAGTTGTGAGTTCCTGACTCTTAAGATAGCCTATTCTTGTTCTCTAGCAGTTTGTCAGAACTACTGTGTAAGCATTTCAGTGACTTACTATACTGTTCAGTGGCCGTGGTCCTAGGTAGGCTGTAGGGCAGGAGTGGCGCACCCCCAAACAGGCCACTTGGCATAAGGATTATCTTGAGCTGAATATAATTAAGAACAAACAGATACAACTAGAGCTCTCTGCTTCCCCAGTCTGCTTAAAAGCAGGACATAAATATGCCTACCACTCCCCCTCTACCAGGCAGGACAAAAGTTAATCACCAGAGACAACCTTAAAATTGGCTCCAAAAAAAATCTGCATGGCAAACTTCATCAACTAGCCCTAATCTTCCATTAGTTCCCTGACCCTTTTGCCTTCCTACCGTTTGCTGCCCTAGAAACTCAAAGCCCTTTTCCTTTGCCTTGTCACTTCTCAAAGAAATGTATTGTTCTTTGGCTAGGATGCTGTATAAGTCCAAGTTCTAACCAACTCTTGAGCTACTCATCACTAGGTATGGAACTTCCACCATCTGAGCCCCCGGGGAAGCCCGGGGGGCTGTACTACATGAATTCTCCAAGCAAGAATGCCAGAGTGGGTAGTCATTCCCATCTCCAGGGGATCTTCCCAACCCAGGGATCAAACTCGGGTCTCCTGCATTGCAGATGAGGAGAAGTGGGCATCAGAGGACGAGATGGCTGGACGGCATCACTGATGCAATGAACATGAACTTGGGCCAACTTTGGGAGACGGTGAGGGCCAGGGGGACCTGGCGTGCTGCAATCCAAGGGGTTGCACAGAGTTGGACACAACTGGGCAACGCAACAACAAGAACAAAGGTACTTCTACTGTGAGCACAAGCTTGGCTGCAATTCTCAAAATGAGCCTTTATCTCCAGATCTGGGGGTGACAGTTTGCCCTGTGACCTCAATTCTGACAGATTTAAGAAAAAGTCACTGATTTTCAGTTTATTCAGGGTTCTTCTTGTTGTGAATACTGAGGTAATCACCTGCAAGCTCTGTACACATCAGAGCTGATATAGGAAGTCACTCCTACTGTCTTTTGATAAGAGAAATGACACTTTAACCACCAAAAGAATTAGGAAGGACACTATTCGAGCATAAAGATTTGTCTTTGCTAAGAAAGTGCAGTTGGTGACTTTCATCACACACCAAAATATATATGCGCTTTGAAGTATTTCAAATGTAGAAAATTTCAGAACCCAGAGCTTTTACTCTACCAAATATAACTGTTTCTTGACACAAAGTAACTTGAGGTACAAAGTAATGTTCAAATACCCAACTTCTTTTGGTAATTATCATTGTCACAGCTTAAAAAACAACAACAAAATCTGTTTCTAAAATCAAGTTAAGAAACAAAACAGTAACAGTAATCCAAATGTCACTTTTCTCATTTTGGAATATGCTCTATACACATAGGGAAGCTGAGGAACAAAAGCCCCTACTCCTTCGCTGACTTTTCTCCCACCAGGACCAGGGCTCGACCTGACAAGGACTCTGGAAAGAAGGGCATGAAGCAGGGGGATGTGAAGGGTGTCCTGCCCAGCATTCTTTCACCCTCAGGCCCAATCCTGCAAAGTAAGGCTTAATCTAAGCCACAAAGAGGCAAACGTCTTTTCTACCTTTTATGTGGACAGCAAGGAGATCAAACCAGTCAATCCTAAAGGAAATCAACCCTGAACATTCATTGCAAGGACTGACGCTGAAGCTGAAGCTCCAATACTTTGGCCACCTGATGTGAAGAGCTGACTCATTGGAAAAGACCCTGATGCCGGAAAAGACTGAAGGCAAGAGGAGAGGAGGGCAGAAGAGGATAAGAAAGTATCACTGATTCAATGGATGTGGGCTTAAGCAAACTCCAGGAGATAGTGAAGAACAGTGAAGCCTAGCGTGTTGCAGTTCATGAAATCACAGAGTCGGATTTAGTGACTGAACAACATCAAACTTGTAAACAACACTTTTCCAACTCTTAGCCCTGTGTTTCACCCTGGAAGGGGTATCTTCTTTTCACAGTCAACAAATATTTAGGTAGTACTCATGAAGTGTAAAAATTTCTATACAACAGCCTCTTTGGGAGGAAAGGGTAACCTTTACCCAATCTTTCCTCTTATTTTACTCAGGGTGATCATGATACATAAGAAAGTACCCAGTGATGAGTAACTTAACAGATGGTTCGAACTTGGGTGTATACAGAATCTTAACAAAAGAACAATACATTTTAGAGAACTGACAAGGCAAAGGAAAAGGGCTTTGAGTTTCCAGGGCAAATTTCTTTGCCAAATCTCCAAATACTGCCTGGTCGGATCACATCACGCTGCCTTTGAAGGACTTCTGCAGAAATGCACCTTCATATTATTTGAGGCCCTGACATAGGTCTCACTCACCCGAGGGACTGCTGCGGAGGAATCGTTTTCACGTTGTCATAAAACACTGTTCAGACTTCTCCTTCCCTGTGCAAAATCCTACCAGAGCTAGAAAAGGCTTAATTTCACCTAAGAAGTGCCTGTGCTCTCTTCTGCTGAGAGCTACTCAGTCATTTGGTCGCTTTTTTCCCCCTTTACTACCAACTCTGTCTTAAGTCATTTCTAAAACTGACACTTTCTGGAAATGGGCAAATGTACAAATTTGTGCCAGTATAAATGTACAAATATGTGCCAATATAAAAAAGTGATGTCAATTCAATTCAGAGAATATCTTAGGGAGGATTCCTCACCTGCATCAGACTTTGAAAAAGCAGATAAAAGGAGGAAAGGTATTTGTGCTGTTAGCATATGTGTTAGTCCTCAGTCGTGTCCAACTCCTTGCAACCCCATGGGCTGTAGCCCGCCAGGCTCCTCTGTCCATGGGATTTCCCAGGCAAGAATACTGGAGTCGGTTATTTCTTCCTCCAAGGGATCTTCCCGACAAAGGGACTGAACCCACATCTCCTGCACTGGCAGGCAGATTCTTCACCATTGTGCCACCCCAGAAGCCCAAAATATGCTTAGCAAAGTTTAAGTGCATTAGGCTGCTCAGCTCTGCTATACTGCTTGTTTTGTAATAAGCAGATTTGTCCAAATGAAATTAATATTTACATATCAGGGAACAAATTGAATACAAAGTCTGCATCGGATTTGCACAGTTTCATCAGCAAGAAGTCCTAGGTAAATGCAGGAAACTGCACTCTGTTAAAGCAAGCTGTACAGAATTTCATAAAATGTACACATTTGCTCATTTTGAATACCCACCAGCGGCCTAAAGTTCACTGCATATTTAATGAGTTACACACCTCTACGTCTCCAGCTACGACTCACACATCCAGATGATCCTTCCTCCGCCACCTGACAGCAATTCACAAGCTTCAGTCTTTCTGACATCCACTTCTGACAGCAAAGTTTAGAATTCTGGGAAGGTAAAGTGCCATATTTCTTATGTACTTCTGTATTTATCATTTAAGGAGTGTAAAACCATGCTACCATTAGGTTCCTATCTTTTTTTTAAAGGTACCACTGATAAAGTTTTTGCACATTTTGCTCCTAGCACCCTTTGCACCATAAGCTCTCTGGTTTTTACTGCATGATTTCATACAGTCTGGTGGTTTGGGGGATGCCTCTGACACTTCTGGCAGAGCTGACTATTCCTCAAGTCTAAAGTGTGTAGGAAGGAGGACAGTCTGTATTCAGGAATCGCTATTCTTTAGCCAATGTTATCCCACATCCACTCTGTGTTTTATTTCTATCATTCCACTCTGTAACCCAAACTACCCAGGTTAGAGGCTCTCATCACTCAAATATTTAAACACCATATACTCTGAACTTTCTTGGACAAATTAGAATAAGAGGGGATAAATTAAATTCTCTTTCAATCTACCAAGTACGCCCATTTTTTCCCCCTTAAGTCTTCTTTATCAAAAGCTGTTTCACCTTCCTTCACATGGAATTTAAAACCAAGACTCATTTAATTTTGGCATTTATTTACTTGACTGTATGTCCTAGGAGTGTCAAGGTTTCACGTTTGATTACAATTATTCAATGATACAAAACATTTGTGTCTGGCCAGATGCTTTTAGTAAGAGACATCAGTACAATATTTGAGGGCAACAATTTCAGCAAAGAAGTAAAGAAGCGTGAAAGTAAGAACCCAAGATCAGATGTTCTGACAACACACGCAGCTCAATGAGCCGACTGCATTTACACGCACTGTGCATGTTTCACTACTGGACAGCATACAAGGTCAAACCGCTGTCGGTGAAGTAAGCTTCCACACTTCTGGTCAATTATCTGGTTAATAACAAAAGACAAGGCTACGACATCATTACGGCTATCATTAATTTACACAGATCTGCTTCCTGTTAATCAAATACATCTTTAAAAGCATTTAATTATTTTTTCACCTAGAAAGCCAACATTCAGCTTTGTTAGACGAAAAGCAACCTTGCTGAATTCAACATGAGAGGCTGTCAGGCTGCTCTAAGACACAAAGGACAAGTCTTCACAGGGCACACTGCTGCAATACAGAAGCTGTGCCATATCCACAGCAAACAGACGCACAAGATGATGGATAGCACAACACGTTCCAACGGTTTCCGCAGACAAAGAAGTTGTCAGCCAAAGGGGAAGGGGCGGGGGCAGAGACAGACAGACCCTGGCTAAGGAAACATCACGGTGCTTTTTGTCAAAATGACATACACGACTAGTAATATTAACATATGCAGTACAGGACAGTAGTTAAGGGCATGGTCTTTGGTAAAAGCTCCAAAATACGCCAGCCATGTGACTTTATAGGAAAAGTTACTAACTGCTGGTTTCTCACCAGTACAAGGAGATAATGTAGCCACATATGGGACTGTGAAGCTCAAGTGAGATTTTATATATATATATATATATATAAAATCATAAATTGGAAAGTGATATGGTTTTTAATGCATATAAACACATAAAATAAGGTTTAAGATTAAAAACTCTAAAAAGCTTGATTTTATAACTTAGTAACCAAATAGCCTTTTTCTGGGCTACCTATGATCCTACATTTTTAAACTGTATTGTGTGATACAATTATACACTTTTTAAAAAACAACATTATGGGGTATGTGGAAGGCACAACAACCCCCCCCTCCAAAAAAAATTTAACAAATAAATTTAACAATAAAATCTCAAAACAGAGTTTTCATCAAGATGATCTTAATCATTACATTTGAGAATACAGTGAGCCTCCATTTTAGGATTAAAAAAAAAGTCAGATGGCAAAAATTTAATTCTCCCCCCCTTTTTAGAGTGTAATACTCTTGATTAGATGATCTTTATACATGAAAAATGAAATACTGGATTTTGTATATAGTCTTGACTTGTGCTCCATCATGAGGTGAATGAGCGCCAACTCCAATTCTGATCCATCATCACTTATGATTTCCAGTATCAATCATAAGCCAGTTCCTTCTCTCACACACTACAAGTTTTAGTGTAATGAGGGCTCATTAAAGTCCTCCGACTGACAGCCCTTCAGACGCAGGTCCTTCAACCAGGAGGCGCTCAGGGGAGCAGCAATGCCAGCAGTCCACCGTCACTCCCTTCAAGAGGATTTAAGCAATTCTACACTCACACTCACTCCACACCAGATTTCTTTGTTTACCTAAAGTCAATGAAAAGGTGAGAGCCATAACCCCATTTAAACTAAGGCACATAAGAACTGTTAGTGAATTATTTATGGAACTGAAATCCTCCTAGCACAGGAACAAGTCAAGAGGGGAATGGCACACCAGACATCAAAGATGTTCATGTTCCTCAAGCACACAGGACGTCGGCTAATTACCAGGTGGTGGGGACAGCCTGGGCTTTTTGTTTTGCTTTGCTGCCTGGCCAGCATCAATTTCATTCTTTCAGTAACAGGTGAGAGATGGCTCTCACTTCCACTGGATGTGGTCCTGGAAAGGACCACAAATCAAGGTGCATTTCCTACATGGATTCGAGGGTGACGCTGACCAAAACTGGAATAACAGCTCTCTTCCTGGAATCTAAAACTTGTGCAGAGATACTAACAGCTTCTGGATCTGATATTCAGAACATTAAAGAATTTTCCAGATCTACCCAAGTCTACTCAAGCCTCGAGAGCTCAACTGGCTGCTGTCCTGTGGTTTTGGCTTTTCTGTAGATTTCCTGAGCTTATTCATACATTTCCATTGACTCTCCTGTTCTTGAATAAGTTGGGCTTCCCTTGTGGCTCAGCTGGTAAAGAATCTGCCTGCAATGTGGGAGACTTGGGTTTGACCCAGGGGTTGGAAAGATCCCCTGGGAAAGAGAATGGCTACCCTCTCCAGTATTCTGGCCTGGAGAATTCCACGGACTGTATAGTCCATGGGGTCACTAAGAGTCAGACATGACCGAGCAACTTTTACTTTCTTGAACAAGTTATCAAGGTAACTTAGTTAACATCTGTTTTCACAGTCAAAGAACCCTACCCAGATCTTAGGGCATTTGCCAAGGGCAAGCAGCAGATCCTAGTATCTTTCAAGCATCACCAACTCTCATTTTTTATTGAGTCCATACGACACTCTAGCTGACAGGAGAACCTCAACTTGTAGGGTATATAAGCAGCATCCCAAAGGTTGGCCACACACAAGCTACTCCTGAAGAGGCGTGCACACAGCTGAGGAGGTGAGCACAAGAGCAGCTTCTGCATACACCAGACAAAGCCCTCTCAATGCCATACACTTGGTGCATAAATTTGGACACTAAATGAAGAATGTTTTTTCAAAAGGAAGAACTGATTGTCTTAAATGTGTCTTCTACTTAAACAAAATTGATGATTTTTCAGGAAAACTTCTAATTACTGAAATGATGTACCAGCTTTGTTCCGCACTGGAAATAAGACTAGTCTACACACCTAATGAAATGTTAGCAGTTGACAGAAACTTCTGGCTAGAACTTTAGGACAATGAATTATTCAGATCCATGGGAGGAAGGGAGGAAGGAAGGAAAGGAGGAAGGGAGAGGGGGAGGAAAAAAGGACAAAGGGGGTAAGAGACTTCAATTTCACAGCCTTCAGGAAGGAACACAGAGGTATCCTGCATGCTTTTCTGTGGAAAGGTTTAACCCTCCTTTCCACCATAATGCACTTCATTAACAGATCTAAATATCCATATTTCTCTAATCGTGAACCCAGAGAAGAAAGCCAATGAATGCGAAACTACAGCAATAAAAGCACTAAGCATGTAAGTCAATATATCTTCATCTATATTCCATCATTTAAGAAATATCTGAGCATCTACTAAAAGACAAGCACTGTCCTGAGAGACAACCATAGTTTTGAGAGAGAAGCAGACAGACAAACAGCAACATTTATGGTGTGATAAAGAACTGTAACAGGTCTGCAAATAAAGATGCATTAAGTGTTTGGAAAACAGCAAAGGTTAAGTTTTAAAATTCAGTATGGGATGTGGACTTTTCTATGGCTCCGTAAAGAATCTGCCTGCAATGCAGGAGACCCCAGTTCAACCCCTGGTTTGGGAAGATCCCCTGGAGAAGAAAGTGGCTACCCACTCCAGTATTCTTACCTGGGAAATCCCATGGACAAAGGAGCCTGGCAGGCTACAATCCTCAATCCACGGAGTCGCAGAGTCAGACACGACTGAGCAACTAACACCTTATGGGATGTGGGAGGAAAGAAAGCAAGCAAGCACTGGAGCAAGTATCATCCTGCGAGCAACAAGGAGGGAGATGAGATGACCAGAACACTCAGAGGCAAAGCAGTGGAGCCATTCCACAAAAAGAAATGGATGAAAGTTTAAGTCATCATTTGGTGGATGTAACAGCTACAGGGGGAACGTTTAGAAAGCAAAAAGGTCCCTTATTAATACAAAATGAACATTCCTTGGAAAGAGAAAGACCTGAAGACTCTGGCGTGAAGGAACTTCTACTACCTGGGCATCAGGCAAAATGTTTGCTCCTACATCTGTTCAAACTCAGCATCACAACTGATTCATTACAATATCCATCACTGCAAATGTCTGGGATTTGTAACATAAAAAAAGGTAGCAAAATTTCCTTCACAGTGTTGCCCAAGAGACTTTTTTCAAGGGAAACACACACATCCTTATATATTATTTATATAAAACTGAAGTCATTGTCATTTATATCTAAATTTCATTCATAACTATCCTGAGATTGTGACTTTGGATTCAAAAAATGCATAAGCAACTGAACACCATCGAGAAACAACCATTGGTGTAGTAACAACATTCCTGGGGCTAAAGCCAGATTTGGGGTCAAATCTAGACGCTTACTAGTACGTGGCTTTGTGTAAATCACATAATCAATCCTGCTGAGCTTCACTTTCTTTATCCATGGATGATGAAAATTCCACTTACTTTCTGGCGTCATCAGGAAGAAGAAATGCAATAGCCTGTCATGTAAAAGCACATAGCACATCCCCGAAGTTTGTTTTCCATTCTCCCTTCCCCTCCATAAAGCAATGAGTCTTCTGCCCCCATGGAACTAGACTTTATTGCTTTCTAATTATGATACCCATGTAACAATGTCCAAAAGAGGCGGTGGTAAATAACACCAGCATGCAAACCTGAATGCACACGTTGTTAGCTGGCTACCAGCTAGATCCCAAGGGCTCTTGCACACTATCTACTGCTTCCCAGAAATTTGATACATTTTTCTCTCCTGAATACAGCCAAAATTGTCCACGGGCTTTGAAATATCACCATCATGATGCTGCACAGAGCAGCTGGTTGATTGAAAGTGACTCCCCCTCCCCCACACTCCAGCTGTCACCAGGAAACCCTCCTCAATGTGTGAAAAAGGGCGATGTGATAATACTACTACTGATATTAATAACAATCTAACAAATACTTAGCATTTGAGATTATTTTTCTTATGAAAGCTCATTCTTAACTGGAAATTAACTCTTTAAGAAAAACCTTTTACCATATAAATGCAAACCAGCTGTTTTCATACAACAGAAAACCAAAGGACAGTAAACACAAGTAATATATTTCCACCGACTCCTTGTTTCTTTTTCCTTGAGTCACTTATAAGGCTAACAACAGCCAGTTAAAATATTAAATAGTTTTAACTGTGCTAATATATGTCACAAGCTTAGAATGATTAAAAATAAAAAAACCTCAGATGATTTCTCAAAAAATGTGCCTAGATTCCTATTTTTGTATAAATCACGTTGAAGGCTGGATTTTTCTTTTCTAATAGCCACTCATTTCTCTGCAAGAAAAGCATATGTACGGCATGTTTGACATCGCTGAAAACCCTGGAAGTTGTTTTTAGAACATGTTTGTGAATCCCACTCAGGAATTCTCAGTGCCCAGACTTCTTGGGTATAGTACAGCTCATCTCCTGAGGATTTCCATGCCAAGATGAGGGGTTTCACACCTTCTGACTCAGTCTCCATGGAGGGTCACTGCAGGAGGTTCAGGATAAGCCCTTCAAACTCTCTCAAAGCCTCTCAGCTCCTGAGCTTTACAAGATGATGCTAAACAGTTTCCCTTCTATAAAAATCTGAGGTCCCCTGCTTAGATGACTGACTGGAACTGCAGCATAAAAGGAGATCTTTTTAAGGCACTTCTATCTCTGTAACGGCTTTTAAAAGAATTTTTACAAATATATGTATAATGTATGGATTATCTGTCCCCACTCCCACATGATCATACATTGCCAAGTAAACAAAATTACGACCTAGTAATGACGCCCTCTGTGCTCACATATTCACACGTAATATACACAGAAATACAAGAGATTTTTGGTATTTTAAAAAATGGAATACAAAACTTTTCACTTTGCTATCATTAAGCATCCATATTGAAAAATAATGATTTCAGAGCTGACAGCGTTTTCTTATTCTTTGCTGCATGTCTTTAGTGAAGTCTCATCTGCTGTGACAAGTGCCCCTTCCTCTAGCTATCCTTGTTAACTAAAGATACTCAAATATTAACCCTCGATCCTGATATTGTCCTTTCAGTAAACACACAAAACAATTCAGAAAAGTTGCTCTGTTACAGTGATAGACCTGAAAATTGTGTTCTTCCACTGGGTTGAGTTTTAACTTTCTCCAAGTGTCTGCTTTCTCTCATACACAATAACATGAAAGCGTTGACTCCTCAGCATTTTGTTTTAAAAAAGAAAAAAAAAAGCAGTGCAGTTAGGTAATTAACAGAATCACCTCATTTATAAAAATATTATGAGGCAATGAATGAGATCAAGCTAGATTTGACATGATCACTACCTTTTGTCCCTTGTCCAATGTTTACCAGTTAACTGAGGCTCTCAGCGTAACAGACGTGTTTTGCACTTGATTTTATTTTATCCAATGTCCTAAGGTAGTCCATACCATGACTCCTACTCTATAGGAGAGGAAATGAATACTGGGAAGATATTAACTTGTCTACTCGACATGATCAGTACATAACAGAGGCGGGGTTCAAAGTAGGGTCTGCCTGACCCCAACCACAGAGATCTGCCTCTCAGACACAGAGGACAAGAAAAATGGGTCTTTGTGAAAAGTGAATGCTTCATGATGGGACAGTGTTAGTTTAGTAGCAACATTAACAAAACTACTTATAGGAGCTGAAATCTACACTGACTCCTGTTAATCTGAAAACTCACCACAATACCCAGGAACCACAGTGCGGAGTTAGGGGCAGAGCACTAATCAGAGTGACGTGTTGTCTCAGTGGCACTCTTCTCAACATCACAGTGAGTCTAGGCTTTAGAGCAGCTGCTTCAAGTCCTGAATATTTCTCTATATACCCCCAACACTGACGCCCTGAAAAGGGAAGAAAGTTGTAAGCAAAGACTGCAACTGACGTTTGGTCAAAACAGTGGATGGAGGGCATATCTAACTTAATTCCAGTGATGCTTCAGAAAACAGAGATAAGTGGATAGGATGAGGCCTTCTCTGCTAATATCGTGGAGCTGTATGACACGTGGGAAAAAAAGATAAGGAGCGAAACATCTTCAGTCTTGCCTCTTGTTTCCCGGTCACTGCTCTGTAATACTTCTCAACTCTAAGGCTGAGGCTGGTCTATGGTCAGTTATCTACTTTACCTTTTTTTTTTTTTTTTTTTACCAAATTCTGGGTCAAAAGAAGGTACAATTACATGGGAAAGACCAAAAGGCCAAAGAATTAAAAACTACTCTTTAACACAATTACCAGTGTGGTTCTTAACACCACAGCATAGGTATTAACTGAGTAACACTGGACAACCTCAACTGTATACAACACAATGAGAATCCATAAACAAACTGGCCTCTAAGCAGCAGCAGAGGCACAATATTCATGCATTACAACTCATATCTAAACCAAAGAAGAATCCTTCTAGCACAATCTATGTACTTATTTTAGGCAAATTACTTAGTAACATCTCGTTTCCCACCTGCATTAAAACATTTTTCCTGAATTTCCTATGAAGTTACCTGTAACTAGTCCAAGATCCAAAACCTAGGAAAGGTTTCACCTGGCTTCAAATTCCATTCTGTGACTCCACAATGCCTGGCTGCTCTTTTTCACTCCCGCCAGCATTTCTCAAACTGTAGCACCCAGGTATACTGGCATCAGTGGGCAATATCCTTAAAACAGATTTTTGATTCATGGAGTTTGGGGTAAGACTCTTCACTTTGCAGTTTCAACAAGTTCCCAGGTGTTGTTCATGCCAGTAAAACTGAGACAACTTAGGAACGCAACGCACTGCATTCTTCTAAGATGAATTGTTTTCCCAACCCTTGCCACGCCAGCAGCAAATTAGTAGAAGTTTTAGATTTAATTAAAAGTTATTTTTTAAAAAAGTTATTAGAACCAGAAAAGTGTGTCATATAAATGTGAAGCGTCAGACAGATTTTTAAGAAACAATTCCAAAGGACAAAAAAAAAAAAAAAGCCGCAAAGTCCAGCTGTCACTGCAAAAGGGCCTACCCATCTCAATGACTCAGTCATGACTACGCAATAATTAATTTATTGTGCCGGTAACCCTGAGTCTTCAAGAGAGCTTATGCTTGGTTTAGAAAAACATAAACACATAGGATCTGTTTTTGAATAGGTTTATAAGGCCCAGGCATAAAAGGGTTGTGTACACTTAGTTTACTTCCTGTCCCCTAATAAGGGAAATAATCACTACTCAGGTTAGGATTGTGTTTGCCATACACTGGTGCAGAGAGAGTTACTCTTTACAAGAGAAACTGAAACCACAAGTCACTGCTGATGCAACACCAGTTTAAACTTCCCGCTTTCATAAGGGATGCTTTAAACATCCCCTCTCCCCGAAACCAACGATCCCATCCTCCCAACGCCTCTGCCCGTCCTTCCCGGTGCGATCGGCCTCAAGCAGAGACGGAGGGTGAAGACGCTTAGACCCCTGGATAGAGTTGTTCCGGAAACTCCCCATTCTTCGAGCGGCTAGAGATCCCTAGATGCGGGGGCTGGGCCTCCAAACCCGCCCCCGCTCGGGCCTCAGGGAAGCGCCGACAGCCGCCCGCAGCCCTAGCCCCACAGCCGCCGGCGCCCGCGGCCCCAAATGGACTACCAGAGCGGCGACGAACAGACGCGGAAACTCACGCTCTCTGACGGCCCGCCTGCGTCCCCACGTCTTCGTGAGCAAGTACGTCATCACGCACGAGCGCCGGATCCCGGACGCTCCAGGTCCCGGCGGCCTGGGGGCGGGGAGAGAGAGTGTGGTTGATATTGCGACGCCACTCCTACTGCCGTCGCCCAACAGGCGGGCCACGGCGCATGCTCAGTTGCGCGCACATGAGTGCTCTTCTTCGCTGGTTTCCCCGCTGGACCGAGAGCGGTGTTGGTGGCTTGGAGGAGGCTCCTAGGACGCGACAGGGAAAGGGCTGCGGCCGAGCAGAGTGTGGTGGGTTTGTACCTTCCACTCGTTTTCCAAGCTCTGAGTGACACCTAGATAATAATATTCCTTCTGCCATAAGTTAACTGTTGGCTGCCCGTCATGCGTAAAGCAAGTGAATGGGCTGCATTCGAGTACCTGGATGTGGGATGGATTAGGCCCGGTCGGGGCTGAGAAATTGCCCTTCGGGGAGGAGTCCTCCCACGGGCTCAGGACCTACTGTCTGGAGGAGTAACACACGTGGACTGGATGGCGGAAGAGACACCTGTCCATGAGTTATCAGACACCGAAGATTAGCTCACCACCTATCTCAGGGCGGAAGCCATGGTTACAAAGCAAGCTAGCAAAACAAGACTGTGGGTGTACATTTCACTCCCTAGAGCTTCCGTTGGAGGCTACATTTCGAAGTTCATTTGCCATTTTGAGGCTTTAGGTGTTAAGTAATTTTTGTTAATGTATCATTTGATGCTATTTTGATTATGGATCCATTTCTGCCCTGGAGCAAGTTTTATGTTGTGTTGTAGGAGGCAGGTTAAGTTAAATGCTGTACTACGTGCAATATGATAACTAAGGGGAAGATAACGTGTTTTCCAAGGAAGCAACCAAGTGCGGGTGGTTCTATGCTGCCCTGTATTTATTGGAAGTTGTAGCAGCTGTGTTTAGATAGTCTACTTAAAAACTGCCTAAATCAGAAGCGTTTTGATTATCGTTTGTTATTATGTATTGCAAGAATTCTTCATGAAAATGTTTATCTTGGAGTTTGGAATTTAAATGAAGATTTAGCTCACGTGCAGGGTGTATAACAGACTTTCAAGTGATAAAGAAGAATCTTGGCAACTTGCAAGTATGTTCCTTGAGCCTTGCAAGTTATTCCTTTCTTCTGAAAACAATATGCTGATCAGAAAGTATGGCTGACAAGGAGAAGCTGTGTTTCTCGAAATAGAAATTCAGCTGAAGGGTGGAGGTGAATTACCAGTAGGAATATTTTTGTATCAGTTATGTTCAGTTCAGTCGCTCAGTCGTGTCCGACTCTTTGTTAACCCCATGGATTGCAGGATGCCAGGCTCCACTGTCCATCACCAACTTTCTGAGCTTGCTCAAACTCATGTCCATTGAGTGGGTGATGCCATCCAAGCATCTCATCTACTGTCATCCCCTTCTCCTTACTTCCTTAGAAAAAATAAAACTAATTTTTCAAAAAGAAGACATTTTATTCCTTTTATTTTATTTATTTTTAAAATTTATTTATTATTTATTTATTTTATTTTTTATTTATTTTATTTATTATTTATTATTTTATTTGTTTATTTATTTTATTCCTTTTATAAAAAAAGATCCCTTTATTCCTGATCCAAGATCATGAGCACCAATTTAGTTACTACTAATCCTTAACTTTCATTCTCTACCACCGTTTGCACCTTTCAGTAATTGTGTAATTTTTATTGTCCCTTTCCTAACATATCAAATACATAGGTGATTTTAAGGAAGCCACAAATAAAAGAGGCTCAATGCAATAATATCATAAAAATGTCATTATATAGGGGGGTTAGAAGTATACTTAGGCAATTATATTCAATTCCAAGTATTATCAGTGAACAATTTCATAGCCATTTAAGAGTACAGAAAAAGTATAGCTTTTTAAAAAATGACCCTTTTTTGTCCTATAGGATTCGTTGAGCAGACAGAAATTTTTTTAAGCCCATTGACATCAACATGTATCAAACTCAGACCCTATTTAAATTGACAAACAGATCACTTGGATAATAATTGTAATATCTTTAACATTAACATATGTGGCAGTCAGCAAGATCTTTTTTCTGAGGCAAGGTTTCAAAATATCAAAGAAGCAATACTTGAAAAGGTCATTTAGCACAAGTTATACAATTATAAATTACCTTGTAAGATAATGATTCCTAAAGTTCAAGTGTACTCTTGTATCTTAATTGTGAGAATAAGCAGTATTATGCACATTATGAATAATATCAGGGACCTATGTAATGGTCTCATACTGTTCATGGGGTTCTCATGAACAGTATACTGTTCTCATGAAGAGTAAAGTTGCATTACTATGCCAACAAAGGTCTGTCTGGTCAAGGCTATGGTTTTTCCAGTGGTCATGTATGGATGTGATAATTGGACTGAAGAAAGCTGAGCGACAAAAAATTGATGCTTTTGAACTATGGTGTTGGAGAAGACTCTTGAGAGTCCCTTGGACTGCAAGGAGATCCAACCAGTCCATCCTGAAGGAGATAAGTCCTGGGTGTTCACTGGAAGGACTGATGCTGAAGCTGATACTTTGGCCACCGCATGTGAAGAGTTGACTCATTGGAAAAGACCCTGATGCTGGGAGGGATTGGGGACAGGAGAAGGGGACAACAGAGGATGAGATGGCTGGATGGCATCACTGACTCGATGGACACGAGTTTGAGTAAACTCCGGGAGTTGGTGATGGACAGGGAGGCCTGGCCTGCTGCGATTCATGGGGTCGCAAAGAGTCAGACACGACTGAGCAACTGAACTGAACTGAACTGATGTAATGGTTTGGACAATTTTCTGTTGCTTTTTTTTTTTAATATTTATTTATTTGGCTGTACTGGGACTTAGTTGCAGCCTGCAGGGTCTTCAGCCTTTGTTGTGGCATGCAAAGTCTTAGTTGCAACATGTGGGACCTGGTTCCCTGACAAGGTATTGGACCTGGGCCCCCTGCAATGGGAGCATGAAGTCTTAGCCACTGGACCATCAGGGGAGTCCCAATTTTCTTTATAAAAGTTTTTCATGAGAGCAGTAATGCCTAGGATTAAGCCATCTGACTTAAATGAGTGTTCCTAAAATGTGATTCTTGAATACACCTTGTACAGTTCATAAGTCTAGGATTGGAACTTGCAGGAGGGCAGGTAAGTGTCATTCTCAGGTTTCAAAATCTATACTGAAGGTGACAAAGCATCAGACGACAACACTGTTAGCAAATAACACAACTGGATTCTTTTGTTTAAAGAGGAACTTGTTTGTTATCTGATTGCTTTTAATGGATCGAGTATTTATTATACCCAACACTGTAGGGAAAGGTGTGTGAAACTCATCAAAGAATTTATAGCTTAATTATTACGAAACTTCAAAATTAAAATAAGAACAACTTTACGTACAAAATTGCATCATGTATTACGACAAAAAGACTAACAACAATACTTAAGAGTGATAGGCCCTGCAAATGGCAATCATAAGAGATTTGCTGTGGCAATAATAATGACAGACAAAATGACTTTAAGACAAGTATTTCTAGAAACAGACATTTCATAATAAAATGGTCAATACATCAAGAAACTGTAACAATTAGAAAGGTACATGCACCTGAAACAGTCCTAAATACATGAAGCAAAAATTGTTGAGAAGGTAGAAATAGACAATAACTTGATAATTTAATATCACACTGTCAATAATGGGTAAATCAACTAGACAGGAAACCGCTAAGGCTATGAAGACTTGAACAACACTATCAACCTAACAGGTATCTATAGACCTCTGAACTTAGTGACAGCAGAGTTTATATTCTTTTAAAGTATATTCTCCAGGCCACAAAAACAGTGGGGTACACACATACAAACACTACTAGAATTAATAAATGAGTTTAGCACAGTCTTTGAATACAAGATCAGAATTCTTTAAATGTATCTCTAATACAAGTTAAAAGTCCAAAAATAAGATAATTTCTGTCAACTGAAAGAATACATGCGGCCTAAAAGTTGAGTTAGGTTTATTCCATGGGATCCATGAGGACTTCAAGCCCAGGAGACGGCATCTCAGGTAACCCCAAGAGAACTGTTTTGCAGGAGGCTGGGGGAGGAATTGGGCTATATAGAAGTTTTGTAGCAAGGGGCAGGTAATCTGAATATTAAAAGATTATTGTTAATTAAGGAAAACCAGATATCGTGCATTAAGGGATTTACCACTCTTCTGTATGGGAAGATGTAAGCGTCCAACCTTACTAAAATCATTTTTTTCATATGCACCTCACCTGTTCACTGTTCAGTTGCCAAGTCGTGTCAGACTGTACATGACCCGTCGGACGGCAGCACACTAAGCTTCCCTGTCCCTCACCATATCCTGGAATTTGCCCACGTTCATGTCCATTGTGTCAGTGATGTCATCCAACCATCCCATCATCTGTCATTCCCTTCTCCTCCTGCCCTCAATCTTTCCCAGCATCAGAGTCTTTTCCAATGAGTTGGCTGTTGGCATCAGGTGGCCAAAGTATTGAAGCTTCAGCTTCAGCATCAGTCTTTTCAATGAGTATTCAGGGTTGATTTAAGGTTGACTGGTTTGATCTCCCTGCTGTCCAAGGGACTCTCAGGAGTGTTCTCATCTATCTGGGGCCAAATCCTGCTTTTTGCTTTTCTCTTCTTTAAGCCCTCCTTCTCCTTAATGGGTTGCAGATGTAGCTGATGCTGCCTCTTGCACTTTCTAACATCCACCCCAACCCCCAGCTCCTCAGAGCTTACCTGAGAAGCAGTTCAGTTCAGTTTAGTCCCTCAATCGTGTCCAACTCTTTGCCACCCCATGGACTTCA